GTTAAGTGCAGCCTTCATGTTGCCTTGCAGAACTTAACAGTGACTAGAGAAGCTGGAGGTGGTCGGAGGGAAGGTCAGTGCGTGTCCCGGGTTGTGTGGTCAGGAATCCCGAGTCCAGAGCTGTACTGATTGTCTGACTATCTTGGGCACGTATCGCCGGGCATGCGAGCCTTGAGCAGTGAGTGCCCCTGTGTTTCTTGGCATCCAAAGGGTACAGGTTTCTGTAACGAATGTGTGGTTCGCTATTCTCATAGTGGCTTTGGCTCAGTATCGTTTGAAACTGAACGTGGGAGTGGCAGCAGAAGGAACCTTCCCCAGAGGAGGAATATTTAAATGTAGCTGTTTCTCGAGAACTGCTGAGCTCAGGAGAAGAGCTGCTGGCCCTGCCAGAGGCAGCCGCCCCCGGGCATCCGCGGGGCTGTGCTGGCAGTCCAGTGCCGGTGGCAGGGGATACGGGAAAGCTGCTGCCATCAAGGAGTTAAACTGACTTTCAGAGCTCTGTTTAAGCATCGCCCCGGTCCAATTATTTATCTAACACAGGAAGCCACTGTGCAGGCCAGTTAACATTTAAATTCTGGCCCTGCTTGTCGGGAACTTGGCGTGCCAGCCGTTCTCACTGACATTGAACTGATAACGCGGAAGGGTACGTGAACGCCATCCTCGCCTCTCGCAGGGGGAAGAGGGTGATGTGCTGGCCTCGGTCTCAGGATGTCTGTGGAGTTACTGATCTGTCTTTCAGCACTTTGCTCAAACTCTTGCTTACCTGGGAGTATTAAATATTTTCATTTTATTAGTAAAAGTGTGAAGTGGTGAGGGGTTAAAACAAGCCTGCAGTCTCCAACTCGTATTCTCTGTAAAGGGTGCTCTGCTGCGGGAAGGTGAATCTTCTAAATCAGCTCTACTGTGGAGGCTTTTAAATACGTTGTTGATAGGAAAGATGCAAGCTCCATGTCCTGAGCTAATTCTAATTTAGCTGATTGCGTTCTGCCTACCTAAATCAGTCCGGTCATGTCAGTTGTTCCCTGCAGCTAATGCTGCTGTCTCGGGGACCAGACCCTATTGTCATGCGCCTTTACCGCTAAATTAATGCCTTTCTGCGTAGTCACACTGAACCGTGCAACAGAAATTGCAGTCATTGGGGTTGAAAGGTTACATGTAAATGCCAGAAGATCGCACCTGAAGTCTGTGGTCTAAAACTCAACTTGTCTTCAGTAGGACAAAACCAGGCATCAGTGAAACTTTAGCCATTCCTTAACTTGTCAGAAATGATTAGCATTGTGTGAAGGCTTAGCCCATTTGCCCTGTTTAACTCAAAAATAAGAATTGATGTTTGAGCATCAGGATTCATTGATTTTCTTAGAGTTGTGATGTGACTGAACCACTGGATAAGTACAACGTCGTGGTGTGGGCTGGTGGTGGTCAGTCAGTCCAAAGGTGTTGGTGGGAACAGAATGGGGATCTTGCTCAGAAGTGTGTGATCCTGTGACTGGGTTTGGGCAGAATGCCCATAATGTTAGCGATATATTTCCCATGACGTAGAGGTAAGACGTTTGTCTTCCCATAAATGGAAACACGTATTTGCTGTCTTCCCGTCCGCTGCTCAGTGGTGGTGTACCTGTGTACCAAGTCACACTGTAGTTCAGTCTCTTACTCGCTGGTTTCTCTGACTATAATGCTCTTGCAGTTCACCTCTGGAATATTTTAACCTTTCATACTCTTCTCTGACAGAGCAGCAAAAGCTCAGCAGATGGGACTGTTCAAAACTGAGATTGTTCCAGTGAAGACCACTGTTCTAGATAACCAGGGCAACCAAAAAACAGTCACCGTGCATCAAGATGAAGGGATCAGGCCCTCCACGACCCTGGAAGGCTTGGCAAAGCTGAAACCCGCCTTCAAAGAGGATGGCAGCACTACAGCAGGTCAGCTCTGTTGTTCAGTTTGTGGTGTTCCTGTGGGTTCCCTGCCCACAGGGAAACGTGTTCAGGCAAAAAAGGTGTTAATAGATCTCTTCCAACAGGTAACGCCAGCCAGGTCAGTGATGGAGCAGCTGCTGTTCTCCTGGCAAAACGCTCAAAAGCAGCACAGCTGGGGCTGCCAGTCCTGGGGGTGCTCCGGTCCTTTGCTGTGGTTGGAGTCCCGCCCGACGTCATGGGCATAGGACCAGCCTACGCGATCCCTGCTGCTGTGGAGAAGGCGGGTGAGAACCGTGCGTCGTCTGTACCGTGTTCGGCACAAGGCAAATCAGACTCTGTGGGCTGAAATTTGAGGTTGTGTTATTCAAGTGTGTGCAGCTATCAGCCATAGCAACGGGGAACTTAAATTTGAAAGCTTAGAAGAGATCCCAGCTGGGATTGTTGTAATACTCTTCGCTTGTACTCGCGTACAAATTGCCATTCGCTCACCTTTGAGAGGCTCAGGATTAAATCCCTGCACAGTCTCAACAAACAGTCAGCATGTGGCGGTGATTTCCTGTTCATTTAGTGGTGTTTCTTCTTCCTTCATATGACCAGCCTGTGAGGGTGCTGGTTTTGTGTTTGGTTTTTGTGGGTTTTGTCTTTACAATTGTGGCATCTGACCAGTGGAACAGGCTTTCCTCAGGGTTCTTACCACGTTAAATAGCTTTTATAGCTGATGATTTTTGTTGTGGCCCCCTGTCATTGCTGTGGTCGCATCCTCACCTGTAGTTTTATCTTTCAGTTCTGAAATACCCTTCAATCTTTAATCCCTCTGCAAAGAAATCACATTTAATCTAAGGAAACTTGGCAAATGCAGTGACATAATACCGTGGACTGTGACATTTCATGGTCTCTAGACGTTTTTGTACATAAACATGCATAGAAGGGTAGACACCCCACGTGGAGCCAAGGTCCCCCCCTTATTGTCATTAGTGGAGTAGAACCAGAATTCATAAAGGGAGGCTTTAGGTGAATTGTCCTCTCTGATGTAGCCAGAAGGCAAAAATGCCTCCTTTTAAATCCTGACTTTTCTGAACCGTAGGTCTGACTCTGAATGACATTGATATATATGAAATTAATGAAGCCTTTGCGAGCCAGGTGAGTGATCGTCCTGTTTGAGTTGCTGCGTTCCTTGGTAACTCAGTGTATTGGTCTCCAAATGAAGATTTGAACTTGTTCCACATGTTACGTCTTCAGCCAAATGTTAATAACGTGCACAGACTGTTTTCCCTTTTCGTCAAACAAAAATAAGCAGGGCATTGCTTGGACAGCTTGATATTAAGAAAAAGAATCGGAAAAATATGTCCACTGAATAAGAATGTAATCCTTACTATCGTATCCTCATACCAACTTGCAAGATTTCTGCTTCACAAGGGCTGTAATTCGTTAGCGGGTGGTGTCGTTCTGAGCGTGTTGCGCTCATCAGCTTGGAGGTCCTTAATGAAAGGCAGAAACTTCTCTGCTGTGTCTTCCACAAAACTGTGATGTGCCCGCCAGAAGTACATGAGTGCAGCTGAGATGCAGGTGGTGGGCGTAGGTCACAGCGTGTGCTTTGGTTGGTGACATAGTGCCACACCTTTCCACCAGGAAACATGGTCTAGCTGGGGTCGGGCCTCCGAGTACCAACTGCTTAATGCTTTTAAGAGCAGCTGACAGAATTGATGTGGATTTTGTGTAATAACAAACATACTTGGAGCTAAATTCATTCTGAGCACAAATCTTTTGAAGCCTCTAGAGCTGTCTAGGATGTTTTGCTGTCCCTCTTTACATACGGACGAGATCACCAGTCTTCTCTCCAGGCCTCTATTGCAGAAGAGCTGAGAACTAGCTGAGGTGAGAGCATCTCCATGAACCGTTCCCTGTCTTTCTAGGCTGTGTACTGCGTTGAAAAGCTGGGCATTCCCATGGAGAAGGTCAACCCCCTGGGAGGAGCAATAGCACTGGGGCACCCACTGGGCTGTACTGGTGCTCGTCAAGTCGTCACTTTGCTGAATGAATTGAAGCGCAGAGGGAAGAGGTGAGCACTGAGGAACAGTATTGGCCTGAGTGCCTTGCGTGTCTGTAAGTAACTTAGGCTCAGAAGTCACCGTCAGTTGGGGTTAAGCTTTCTCCATCTCTTGGATAGCTTTGAACGTGAATCCCGATGGCTCCCGATAGTCATCTGACTGTCCAAATTTACCCTGACCTTTTACGTAGCAAAGCCATGCGGAGGGCAGTGGTAGGAGGCAGGAAAGGAAGAGTTTCTTCCTCAACCTATCTGAATCAAAGCAGTTCTCCTAGCTCAACCCCGCTGCTAGTGTGTCTGAGGCCGGTGGCTAAGGAGCTTGCTCCTGTCCAGAAAGCAGGCAGAGAAACGTGTGTCCATGTGTCCTGCAAGCACCCAGCCAGAACTCTGAGGCACCAGGACCTGCTCCACAGTTAGCATCTCCTGGTGCCACAGGAGAGCAGTGGGTAGCTCGAGTTTGTCGTAGTCTTTTTATTCCCCAGATGATCTAAACCACATCTGTCTTAATTCCACGTGCTCTTTTGTTTCAGAGCGTACGGCGTTGTATCGATGTGCATTGGAACTGGCATGGGCGCTGCCGCGGTGTTTGAGTACCCAGGGAACTGATGGAACAGCGCAGCAGCTAATTCTCTGCCTTCTGCAGTAACAGCAAATGATTTGCACTGTGAAATCAAGCGGATTCAGGGATGCGTTACTAGATCTACAAATTTTAGGCACAAATCACGAAGCAGAGTAAATCGTACCGATCTGCTAAGCAGGTGGGAAGGTGCAGAACTGGCAAATGGCATCCTGACGTGAGAAATTAGTTCAGGTGAAGTTCAGCTGCAGGCCCTTGTGCTATGAATGAATAATTTCTAATTTAATTGATCACTTTCTTCTGCGAATATTGTCAGAGAGAAGTAGTTCGTGGTAGAGCATTTTTGGATGACAAATTGTCTAAAACGGTTGCTCAGAATGAAACCAGTGCACGTGAAAAGGCTTTTCTGGGGTTTTCTTAAAAGATGTCACCATCTTGCGAGAAGGCCGGAACAACTCGTTTTGAAAGCCGTGCGAAGCCTGAACACCTTTACAAGCCTGTCTGTCCCGCCCAAGGCGTAAGCTGGCCATGTCTGAAATTGTCCCTGCGCTGGAGGATGTGCTTTAGCTTTCTGCTTGTCACCAAGCTGCCCTGAAGCCGCCAGTGGGGGAAAGCGGAAGGACGGGGATGTCATTTACACAGGAGCAAGCAAACTGTTGAGGTGCCTGAATTGAAAGGGTTTGAGGATTTGCTAGAAGCCAGGAAAGTGGCCATTCCACCTGTTACAACACCTGCCTAATTATTAGCTTCTGTGACTCGTAAGTTAGAGGACAAGCTTATGCTTAATCATATTTACTTACCAAACATAAAACAGATTTTAGCATTACTCTTACTGCAAGCACTACATGTCCCTTCCAGCCCTTGCCATTCTATGATTCTATGTTTCATCTTGTAAAGTTCTCCCTTCCCTGTGCTTCCTCTTAGGAGCAGAAAGATCACTGGAGCTCAGAGCTAACGGCTTGAAAAAGAAATGCATTCATTGTCTTTGGTATGTTAGAAAAGCTTAAATTTGTAACACAGACTGAAGTTCTTTGTCCTGGCTCTTGGCTTTGCACTTAATAATACAACGGGGCTCTTGCAATGTATTTGTCTTGTTTTTTTAATGATGATCGTTGAAGGATGGTGATGACCTAATGATGATAATGATGTTGAAGGCTGTGACTACTTAGAGCTGTTTGGTATTCTCACATTCCTGTGCTGTAGCCTGTCTCACTCACCCAGCAATCACGCAGGCTGTATTTTGGAACAAAAAGATGAAGTTATTTAGAGGGAGCAGAGAGGCATATCCTTTTCTCACACTGATGTTCCTGCGTATAAAGTGTTCTCATTGCTGGTACAAGTCTGTTTTAAACTAGGCAGCAGGCAGCTATCGGGCATCTTTTGTTCTCCCCCAGTGTGGATTGCAGCCCGCTCCTCCCCACACACACCGCCTTTAACAACAACCTTTTATATGATGGGAGTGGAAAACTGAACAGGCTCAGAAGTGGGAATTTCGGTGACCTTTAGCTAAAGGAATACTAAAAACATTTAAAGAGAAGTGTGAGTAAATGGGAACCATGTGGGGGGAAAGAATTAAAAGGAAGAAGGGTTCCTCCCTGTGTGGCTGAGGGGGATGTTCTCAGTGCCCAGGCATGATGAAACACGCAGGCTGGTGATGTTCCAGGGAGCCCGAGGGAAGTTGGCTCTTCCCTTTTTCATGTAAGGCGCGGAGAAAACAGCCCGGGGAATGCTGACCTACTCGCTAATTCTTGCTTTTATGATGTGTCAATGTCCATTTTAATGTCAAAGACATAAACAAGGCAAAACAAAAGCTGCTTTTTAAGGTAGGAACAGTCTTTAATTGTCATCTGAGGCATACTGTGATGTGCAGAGGGTTCTGGCCTAACTGTTACCGTAGCTACTTCGCAATTTAAAACCGATGATTTTGCAGAGCCTGGTTCTGCGGCTAACGGTAAGCTTGTCACACCAATAAAAGTGATGGCACAGAATGAGATTACGACTCTGAAGTACTGTGAGCTTTTTTTCCTCATAACTTAAAATTTCTTTCTGGCAACATTCCAGTTCGTATTAAAACAACTGAAGTAGATGGAAATATGGGCGCAACTGATGGCACATCTGCACCCAACCCATTACCTTGATGTGTCCCACACTGCCGTGCTTAAATTAAGTCTTCATACTTCCCATTGAATGTTCCTCGTCCCCTGAGCTGTAGTTTGCAAGGCTTCTCTCCCAGCATTCCGGTAATGGTCATGATAGTTTCATATTCGATGTCACTCCTAAAATGCACAGGGAAAAGACAGTGTGGTTACAGCTAGATGCAGTGTTTAAGGGTGACATTAGTTACTTTGCGGAGGAAAAAGGGGACAGTGGTGCCCTAAGACGTAAACTACTCCCAGTCACAGGCACCGGTCTCTGAGGTTAGTGTTGAGTCTGTGGGTGGCAATCTCCCTTCATCGTGTGACGTCCCACAGCCATGCGTAGGTTACTTGAAAAGAACGGTCCAGCCTGTACCTCAAGTAAAGACGCTGGATTATTAACTTCATGTTTCAAAGAAAAGCTTGAGTGTCTTCCTACTTGTGAAATTCTGTTTGAGTGAAATAAAACGAAGCTCTGCTAGGGGCTGGTGTTGGGGGAACACGTGCCTGCGCTGCTTTGATGTGAAAACTTGTCCCTGTGACAAAGTTTGAAACAGAAAAAGTTTGTCAGCTCCCCTAGACAAGGGGCACTCCGTGGAGTCCAGGTTGTAAACGAACATCAGAAGCTTACAGCAAGTGTAGTTTTGTGCTAAGGGAAGTCTTACAGCAGAATTCGCCTAAGGCCGGTGCTGCCCGACGCTCCCGAGACTGCTGATCTGAAGGACGTCTGCGTCTGAGCGACGGCCGTTGTGAAGGCCGGAGGCAAGCGCCTGTTCTGCCAGACAACTTTGATTTTTTCCCTTCTCATAAAAAAAACTCCCCTGCAGGAAGGCCACTGATTTAGGGAGATGAATTATGAAAATCACCTCACACCTTGCATACAATTATTTACTAATGCCGCGCTGGTCCTGAGCTCTGCCTGTGTTGGGAATTCATCTGGAGCTGAACAGATGAGCTGGCTGCTACAGAGCGACACCTTTGCGCTCTGGTACTTTCAGGCATGCTGATGAGCATAGCTGTTGTCAGACAAAAAGAAGTGCTCCAGAAAAATTCAGGCAGCCAGGAGCCTGGGGAGGTCTCTGGTCCACCACGCTGCTGGGAGCAGAGACAGCTTAGAGCAGCTGCTCACGGCTTGTCCTGCTGAGGTTTCCACGGCTTCACAGAATCACAGAATCACAGAATGTTGGGGGTTGGAAGGGACCTCTGTGGGTCATCTGGTCCAACCCCCACTGCTGAAGCAGGATCACCTACAGCAGGCTGCACAGGACCTTGTCCAGGCAGGTTTTGAATATCTCCACAGAAGGAGAATCCACAACCTCCCTGGGCGGCCTGTTCCAGGGCTCCGTCACCCTCAGAGGGAAGAAGTTCTTCCTCACGTTCAGACGGAACTTCCTCTGCTTCATCTCGCAGCGTGTTCCAGGGAGATCGAAGTTACGACCGTAACTCGTGTCACCTGGAGTTTGCTTCTTGAAACTGCCCTGTCAGCAGTGTTCAGAGTTCACTGAAATCACTGCGGTAGACTTGTCTTACTTGAACTTTCTGCCACCACGTGATGGCTTCCAAGAAAATAATTTGTAGTGGAAGCTGAATTTTACAGGAGTTGTATCTCTCTAATTAGAGCAAAGAAATTAAAGGCTTTGGGTCACTACCTCTGCCATTCACAATTTAATTCCCAGCCTTGACAAAGGTTATGATAACATACCCACAAACATAATCAGAACAATATTAGAGGTTTATAGGACAAAGTAATTTTCAGCAGCTCTCTCCTGTTCTTTGCTGTCATTTGCCTGCAGCTCACGTTATCTTCATTGTGTAGAAAACCTTTGGACTGGAGGCAACAAAAATACATCGATTTTTTTTTCCTACTCAAACATCAACATGACTGTCACACTAAACAGTGCACCAGGATAAGCAAAGGTCAAACAAATCGGATCACTGCATTAGAGTGATGTTTTGCTCTTCTTCATCAGGAGGTACCCTCAATTTGTGCAGGGAAGTACAGGGTTTAAAAAGTTTCTTTTGGAGAGCAGCCACATAAATGATACTGAAGACTGAGACTGCTCAGGACACGGCCCTTTCCTGCGTGACAAACAGATGCTTTACTGGAATTCTGAACTACTCCAGGCACACTTCTCCCTCTGTCCTAACAAACTGCTGGATGCATAAAGCCCTCGACTGTTGTGTCAGCTCCTGTGCTGAACTGCAGGCCTGAGATTTGCCCTCTGTTGAAGACATTGCCCTAAAGAAAGGGAATTCACCCGGTGGTACCGAAGCAGTGTGCCATGCCAGCTGTGGGAACGGCATGATTTCGAGTGGGTAAATCTGAAGTCTGAATTTCTGGGTGCCATTTCCAGAAGAAATCCCATCGATGGGAGCAGTGTAAAAAAAAAGTAGGGAATGTGGTTAGACGGGAAACGTACCAGCTGGAAGCACAAGACTGGCAACTGTCAGAAGCAAAACGAGCAGCCTGATAACACCAGAACAGAGCAGAAGTGCTCTCTGCTTTCAGGGACCACCCACACCGTAAGTCTGGGCTTGACAGGGCATAACAGCCAGATTTCAGCCCTGTTCACCGTACCTTGCTGTAAAGCTGATCTGCAGAATCTCCTTGGTAGGTGGGTCCCCTTCGCGTGCCTCCAAAATGCCATTAGCAGGGGAGACAGAAAATACTTGCAGGTCGTTCTGCCTTTCCTGTTCATCTGCAGCGAAGGGGAGCAAATGTCAAACACGGCAATACAAGACCCTTTGTGCAGCGTGTAGCACTCAAACCAACGCGCTGCCTTGCTAGCCAGCTCAGAAATCACATCTTGCTTTCTGTGCACGTGGCCAGTTTCTGTGTCCATCCTCTAATCAAGGGGAGTGATCAATGCCCCCCCCCCCCCCCAAAAAAAAAAAGGCCCCACCTCTCTTGTTTTTGAATCCACCA